TAGACTTTTAGAAATATATATCCTATGTGAATAATCCCACAATGGGCACAAATACTAATGTGCAAGCATGTTTATCATACCTGTTTACATTTCCAAATTTTGAAGACAACTTAAAATTTCTCCAAATAGCAAGCTAAGTAAACTGCTATTGTCCATCTTTCTTTTCAAAAGGATCTTTTTTTCTATTGAACTTTTTCAATAACATTTAACATGCCCCCATTTGATCTAGCTTTAAAATCAAGAATAAAACAAAATGTTACCTCAGAATTAGGTAGCTATCAGATACTAAAATATATCACAAAACTATAGTAACCAATAGTATTAAAACAACTTGGTACTGCTATCAAATATACAGATAGATCTATGAAACAACACAAAGTTAAAATACAGTAGGTTCTACATCTATAGGGAAACTTAGTATATGATAAGGTAACATCCTCAAATATATGGGGAAAATGTTGGGTGTTTCAATAAAGGTTAAAATAACTGGCTGCCCATTTGCAGGGGAAAAAAACTGCATCCATACCCACTTCTAATTCCAGATGGACCACATGTTAAAAAAAAAGAAAAACAGAAGATAAATGAAGGAATTTTAAAAATAATTTTGAAGAGGGAGTAGAAATCTTTTTAAGCATGAAGCAAAATCTAGAAATCAAAGATTAATGAGCTGAGCTACATAAAAATTTTAAACATCAATTCAGCAAAAAGCAAAACAACAAAAGTCAAGGGATAAATGACTAGAAATAACACAAAGCATTTATGACAGGAAAATGCTTATTTCCTTACTATATGAAAACTATATAAAAGTTCTTACAGATCAAAAATGAAAAAGCATATAATTCAAAAGAAAAATGGGCAAAAAATATAAACAGGCAGTTCACAAGAAAAGAAATACAAATGGCAAAAAAAAAAAAAAAGAAGACAAACTTTCTCAAGAAATGCAAATTAAAAAAAAAGAAATGCAAATTAAAATCAGACATAATTTTCACCAGCAAAAAAGTAAGATGTTTTAGAAAACCCAGTTTTGGGCCAGAAAATAGAAATGTAAATTAATACAACTTCTCTGAAGGGCAATCTGACAATACTTACCAAAATTTTCAACTCACAACTCATTGACTCAGCAATTTCAATTCCAGGAATTTATTTTACAAATGTACAGGAACAACTTTACAAAGATGTATAAAAATCGTTGCTGCAGCATTTTTGAAATAACAAAAACTGAAAACAACCTAAATAGCCAGCATTAAGATACAGTAATATACATACATAACATATATGTTCATATACTGTAAAACTTTCCTGAAAAATATACAAGAAACTCCCATCAATGCATACCACTGAGGTGTAAGACCTGGAAACAAGAGTAACACCTGGGAAAAAAACCTTTCATCATATATCCTTCTGTACAATTTCTATTTATTTTTAATATCTGCATGCTTTTATAATTTTCAACAGTTGATAATTTTAATATATTTTTAAAACCTTCCTCAGAATACACAGTAGTTCAAAATGAACTTATTATGTGGTTATGGGATAAGGGATGAGTCCAAGACTAGGGGACAGACAGGTCTTGAACATAATCCTTATTTTTTAATATACAAGAAAAAATAAAACAATGAAAGTCTAACAAAACGTGCAGTGCTTTAGTTGCTTAGCTATATCTGACTCTTTGCGACCCCATGGACTGTAGCCTGCCAGGCTCCTCTGTCGATGGGGATTCTCCAGGCAAGAACACTGGAGTGGGTTGCCATGCCCTATTCCAGGGGATCTTCCCAACCTAGGGATCGAACCCAGGTCTCCGGCATTGAAACCAGATTCTTTATCATCTGAGCCACCAGGGAAGCCCACAAACAACATGTGAATAACTGCCAAACTGGGCTCACTGACATATTATCTTTTCACTTTTCTATAATTTTTTATATCTTTCAGAATTAAGTGTCATTAAGAGAAACATAACCATGAAAAAAAAATCCTTCCAGACCTCCCTGGTGGGCAGTGTATAAGAATTCACCTGTGGATGCAGGAGACATGGGTTCTGTCCCTGGTCCGGGAAGATTCCACATACTGTGGAGCAATTAAGCCCCTGCAATACAACTACTGAGCCCCACTGTAGAGCCCTCAAGCCACAACTACTAATCCCGCAGGCTGCAACTACTGAGGCCCAAGCACCTAGAGCCTGTGCTCCACAACAGCAGAAGTCACTGCAACGAGAAGCCGTGCACCACAACAAAGAGTAGCCCCCACTGGCTAAACCATGAGAAAGCCCACACAAAGCAACAAAGACCCAGTGCAGCCAAAAATAAATAAACAAATATATATATAATTATTATTTTTTTAATCTTTCCTTAACCCCACATCCCTCTCCAGCTCCTGCCAGTTCTCTCTCCTTCCATTCAAAAACAAACTTCGTAAATATATTGTCTGTAACAGCTTTCTCTGACTCCTGAATTCCCATTCACTTGTCAACGCAGTTGATTTTCACAACTGACCTCACCACACCTACACAGATACTACTCTCCCTAAGGTCACTTCTATGTTGTTAAAACCAAGGGATATCAATTAGTCTATATCTTTTGGAAGCCCCTCTCAGCAGCACAGAGCTGAAACTGGTTAACCACCCTCTCCTTCTTAAAGCACTATCATTTTGGTTGCCATGAAACTATACCATCCTGGCTATACCAACTCCTACCATGCTGGCCTCCCTTTTCAAGCTCATTAGCCATCTCTTTCACCCTCTACCCAATTGTTTAATGTTGGAGTTCCCCAGGGCCTGATCCTTGGGCCTCTTCTCTATTTGTGTTCCCTGGATAGTCTAATTCATTCTCAAGAAAAATCAACAGTATGATGACTTTCAAATTCAGTTTCAACCCAGACCTATATTTTGAGCTCAAGATCAGTGTCTCCAGTGAACTACTTAGTATATTTTCCTCATAAGCACTCCAACTTGACATATGCAAACACCAGACTCAGATTCTTACCCTACAAATTGTTCCATTTAAGGTAGTATATTCAAAACAAGTATGTAGAATATTTATTTATTATAGTGGAAACATATTCACCATAGATTAAGTGGAGGAAAAAAGCAGATTATGAAGAGTTATATATAATTTGTTCCCATTACTGCAAGACAAAAAAATACATATATACACACAGAGACAGAAAGAGAAAGAGAAAAAGCTAGAAAAAGATCTGGTAGGATATACACCAAAATGTTAAGCAATAATTTCTGGAGGATACGATAGGATTACAAGTGATTTTTATTTTCTTCATCTCCTTCAGTTTCTTCGTGTGTGTGTGTGTGTGTGTGTGTGTGTGTGGTATTTATTTTCCATATTCTCTAAAATGCATGCTTTTCGCTTTTATGATCTGATTTTCTTAGCTCTTTTTTCCTTTCCTGATAGGATATGATATAAAATTCAGAGCATCAATTATTAAGTTTTCTTGCTAAAACTATTTAATTTAAATCTAGTAAAAATTTTAGATCTAACTTCCAGTTTGCAGGAAGGGGACAGAAGAACATGTCATAAAATACCAAAAGGAAATAATCAGACAAATTAAAAAGCAAGGACATTCTATAAGTCAAACAGTCTAGCCTAATCAAAAAGCATCTGTTGCAGAAATAAAATAGTGAAAGAACTGTTCTATATTAAAGGTGACATTATAGCAAAATGCAAAGCATGACCCTTCTTTGGGCTCTTGGTTATAAACAATCTCATAAAAGACTTTTGGGGGACACCCAAGGAAGTAGATAGAGTATTAGATGACACTGAGGCATTATTATTAACTTTCTTCAAGGAGATAATGCTATTGTGGTTCTTTAATAGAATGGAAAGAATATCCTTGTTTCTAGAAATGCATGCTTAAGTATTTACGGTGAAGCATCATAACATCTGATCAAGAAAGCTGAACCTGACAAAATGTTAACCATAGCTGAATTTCAGTGATGGGTCTAGAAGTGTTCATTATATTATTCTTGGGGAAAAAATTATTTCTTACAACACTGTAAGTTTTCAAATGGCAAGGACCAAATAATCTTAATTTTGTACCCCCAGCATCTAAAATGCAGCCTAGTCCAGTAAATATTTGTTGAGAGAACGAAATAAATAAAAAGAAGAACATATTTTAAAAGGTTGGGCTTTAGGCCTGGTGGAAGTGGTGATTCTCTACACATTGCTGCCATTGTCTGAAATAATTAAGACATAAAACTTATATCATGCATGGCACATAATAAGCACTCAGTAAATGTTAGTTCCATTCCTTATTCCCATCCTTTTATTTCTGATACTTTTTTTTGGCCACACCATGTGGCTTGTAGGATCTAATATAGTTCCCCAACTAGGTATCCAAATCATGCTCCCTACAGTGGAAGTGAAGATTCCTAACCACTGGACCACCAGGGAATTCCCGGTTTCTGATACTCTTTAGTCATATAACAGATGTCATTATCTAATGGCTGCTTTGAAATCTGTCACATAATAAAGTAAAAATGGCAAGTAATAGGATTGAAACATTGAAATTCATTGAGTTAACCAGATTGAATGGATTTATTTTGGATAAAATCCTGTAGAAAAAGCCTTAGCCTGGTCGATAATGGACATGACAGACAGGTCTGGAATAGTAGCAAGAATAATAATAAAAATAGTTTTTTTTAAAACATTTTTGAGCACTTTATATATTTTATCTCACTGAATCTTCAAATAATTCACTGTAGTTTGTACTATAAATTCCCCTCATTTTTTAAAGTGAGAAAACCAAGTCAGAGAGGTAGTTAAAGGTCACAGAACAGTATGTGGTAGAGCTGGAAATCTAAACCTACGATAGAACTCTTGCTCTTAACCCACAATTTATGTTTTTGCTCATTGTCCAATTCCATGTGAGGGGCAGGACTTGGTCCTGGCCAATCTTCCCAAAGATATATTTGGCAACTTTTCAGACAAAATTATACTAGTGCTAGAGGGTCACTTAAACCAACTAGACCACATCAGGAAATAACTGCTTACCTGCAGAACAAATGGGATTCTCTCCTGAAGTTCTGAACCTAAAAAGAGGGAGAAAGCATGTTTAGTACAGTTAGATGTGCACATTTTATTTGCACAGCTACCAAAACTTGTATGCTCCTCATTATAGATACGTCCATACTATACTTTTCCTTATGCTATCCTTCTCTTCTTTCCATAAATATTATTAAGTACTTACTATAGGTCAGACAATGTTTTAGGTCCTGAAGATGCAAAAGTAAGTAAAACATCTCTATCTATGGTCTAGCTGGTAGAGAGATGAGTAAACAGATGTGAGCCACAACATAGTCCTGGTACAGAGCAAAAACACATACAAGATTTAATGGAATATACAGGAAAGTGTGATGATTTCCACCAGGGGATGAAACTACTGGAACTGAGTTTTTAAAAACAAAGAACTATTCTCAATTGTTTAGCCTTACAGAAAAAGTATTCTAGGCAGAGATATGAAAGTAGTATATCTGGGGAACAGCAAGCAGGTGGGTGTGAGTGGCACTTCAGCTGCAGGGAAGGGGGCAGGGCAAAAGAGGTAACCAGGGACCAGGTTATACCAGGTTATGAAGACCTCATAACCGGTGGTAAGGAGCTTGGTCTTTGCTCTGTGTAGGCAGTGGGAAGCTCCTGGCAGAGTTTAATCACAAAAGTGATGTGATCAGGTTTAAGTTTTGGAAAGTTAACCCTGGTGAGTAATGAATGAGAAGAAGTGAAACTGAGAGAAGAGAAACCACCAGTCAAGTGGTTCTTACAATAGCCGTGCATTATTAGGACACATTTCACAAGTAAGGCTGATGGGGTTTGTCCAGGAATTAGATGCAGAGTAAGAGAAACAACAGTAGCAAGAATGACTCCTAAGATTCTGTCCTGTGAAACTAGATAATTGGAGTTGTCATTTACCGAGAAATGGGGAAGGAGTAAGATGGCAGAGGAGTTAATGCTTGAGATGCTTAAGAAACATGTAAGGGGAGATGATGAAAGAAGAATGCTGTGTGAACATCCTAGAGGGATGCAAATATTAGCTATATTTAATTACTGTTACCTTACCTCAAGAGGGAAATATCCTTACCTCAAGAGGGAAAAGCCTTGCTTAAAAATGGTGTCATTCCTCAGACACAGCACCTATAGCAAAACAACCACATTAGACCAACCATAGGCATTCACAGACCTCCAAGTACCTCTTCACAGAGGCTAGAAACCCACAGTACACAAGCCAAAACAAAACCCAAGTCTCTTGTCTAGCAAAGAAGCTTCCCTACAGTTAATACCAAACATGCAGGCAAACCAAGGCCATGTTCTTTCCTATTTCACCCACTACAGAAAGTGCTGGAAAAATAGAAGCCCCCCTTTTGGGGGCTGCTTTTTTAAATTCACCCTATTTCTCCTTTCTAATTTGATTTATATTTTCTAATATCAACAATCATTATGCATGTGTCAAGCACAGGCACCATGCAAGGGACTTTCTGAATTCTAATGCTCAAAACACTGCAAGGCAATCCTACAGGTGAAGCAACTAAGGCCCACAGAAGTTATATGCCAAGAAATTACAGCTAACAAGTGGCTAAAACGACTGCTTTACTCCAAAGACTATGTCTCTATTATAGCATACTCTCTTTTAATAGTAACAATAATAACAACTATACCAACATGAACAAAATAATGATAATGAAAGGAGGTAGGTGCAGTGGCAGCCTCCCTTCCCGATCTTACCCCTAATAAGCCAGTCATTCCCATCTCACTCTGCCCTGCTGACACTCACTCAAAAGATCACTGGTATCGCTTTACTAAAGTAGTCCTTAAAGAGGAGGTCTTTGCATAAAGTAACTGGATAATAAGTAATAAATGGCCTTAAGGTTCCATAACATAAAGAGAAAATCTTGTCCACTATGATAACAATTTCAACTCCTTCAACATATATGTATTAGAAGCCCATTATGTGTAAAAGCCTTCAGAAACAAAGGAAAGTCTGAGAAACTGTCATAGACAAGAAGAGTCTAAGAAGACAGACTAAATGTAATATACTAGGTAGGATCCTAGAACAGAAAAAGGACCCTGGATTTCTTTTTTTTGACCCTGGATTTTTAAAACATGAAGGAAATATCAGTAAAACATGGACTTGATAATAATATATCAATATCAGTTCATTAATTATAAAAAGTATACCATACACATATAACAGGGAAAATTGGATATGGCGTATATCCAATACTGTCTTTGCAACTTTGCTGTAATTCTAAAACTATTCCAAAGTCTTGTTTTGCTTTTTTGGCTGTGCTGCATGGTACGTGGGATCTCAGTTTCCCCACCAAGGGATCGGACCCCTGCCCCCTGCAGTGGAAGCACAGAATCCTAATCACTGGACCGCCAGGGAAGTCCTCTAAAGTTTATTTTTTAAAAGCCTAATAGGTGCCAACTGTTGTGGTGACTATGAAAGGGACTATAAGAACAAAATGCAACAATATGAATGAACTTGGAACTATTATGCTAAATAAAAGAAGACAGTCACAAAGGGCCGGTATTGTATGACTCCATTTATATGAAATATCCAGAATAGCAAATCTATAGAAAAAGAAAGACTAGTGGATGCCTTGGGTTGGGGAGTCTGGGAAGCTGGGGATGACAACTAAGGGATATGGGACATCTTTGGGACTTCTTTCTGGGGTGATATAAAAGTTCTAAAATTGCATGTAGTGATGGTTACACAACCCTGAATATATTAAAAAGTCATTTGGATGCAGGTTGGATGCATGAGACAAGTGCTCAGGCCTGGTGCACTGGGAAGACCCAGAGGAATCGGGTGGAGAGCGAGGTGGGAGGGGGGATCGGGATGGGGAATACATGTAAATCCATGGCTGATTCATGTCAATGTATGACAAAAACCACTACAATATTGTAAAGTAATTAGCCTCCAACTAATAAAAATAAATGGGAAAAAAAAATAAAAATAAAAATAAAAAGTCATTGAATCGTACACTTTAAATGGGCAAATTGTATGGTATATGACATATCTCAATAAAGCCTTTTTAAAAATGTAAGCACGACCCCCATTTTATAGGAATTTGAATGGCTGAAGATATGAACACACATTTGTATTAAACAGCTAAGTAATACCACAGCATCATATGATTAAGTCAAAATAGGTGACACAAACAACTGATACCCCTAGCAAGAAATCTGGGTGTTAATGGCAAGGAGAAGTTCTCTAGCTTTGGAGATGTTACAGATATTGCTGAGAATCTGCCCCAAGTCATGAACCTTCTCCCCAGACATACATAGACACAAATATACAAAAGGCTGCATACTGAGCACAGAGAATTATATTCAAAATCTTTAATAACCTATAATGGAAAGGAATCTGAAAAAGAATATGTATATATTAATATATACATATAACTGAGTCACTTTGCTATACACCTGAAACATGGTAAACCAACTATATTTCAATTTTTTTAAATGCAGAAAAAAAATGCAGGATGTAGAACCAAATAAAGTGAGGGAGGAAAAAAAGTTTGCATTCTACTTCAAGAGATTCACTTAAACTCTTAATATCCCCCACAGACCACTATGCTAAAACAAGAGATCCTCAAAGGCAAGAGTCATGTCATCTTCCTCTCAGGCACACTGTTGTTTTAATAAATAAATAGATGATTAGGAAGAAGTGAATAACTGCTAATCATTGCTACCATTTATTACTACCCACATCTATTTTGTTGAGCACCTATCGTGTGTCTAAATCATAATTTCATTACCAGATAAGTATTACTATCCCATCTTACAGCTGGGGAAACTGAAATTAAGTATTATTAAGTAACTTTAATTGTAACAAAGTCAAACAGCTACTATCAGAACTAGCATAGGATATTAGGTTTCTGACTCCAAAGCCTGTAATTTCCCCCTATTCTACACCCTCTCTCCCATAAATGAAGGTGTTAGTGCTTAGAAAATCAGGAGGGAAGAGTTCAAATTTAGGAAAAGTCTCCCAGAGAATGTGAGGTCATGAAGATTGGGATATGAATAAGTAGAAGGAAGGACAAAGTATATAGACTATCCTAAAAATGACAATTAAATCAGATACTAAAAGACTCTGTAAACATGTATACAACATTCTTAACCTAATGTTGACCAGCATAAAAGAGCAGTCACAGGGCCTCTGGCTGGTTACTTCACCACTGGCCACCATACCTTGGTCAGTAATTTTCCCCTCTCTGGAGTTAGAGCCAATTACTCTAAGGTCCCTCCAGGGCCAAGATCTATCAACCACGACAAACAGAACAGAAATCAGAGTGAACAGAATGTATTCTTAAATGGGTCACTTCATACAGAAGAGGTACTGGATGGGAAGAAAGATCTAGATAAGACTGATCTTTCCTCACTTTAAATGTTCAGATTTCTGAGTCTCTACAACAGCTATGAATTTAATTATCTAAAAGCCAACCCTTTTTAATGGTGGACAACTGTCTGGAAGACAACCAAATTATGGCATGAACTCTTCCTTTCAGCTCTGGGAAATGTGCTTCCTCTTCCCTACAATGCTTAGCATTATTTATCAGGACAAAAGCAATCTATTTTGGGACTGTGTCCACAAATTCTCTCTCTCCCCAGTCAGCAAAGGAAGAACAGCTCCATCTCTGGAGCAAATGGAAGAGGAGGCCAGTGACTCTAGTGAATGAATGAATGAGGACATAGATGCCCCAGCGGGTTACAAAAACACTTGTCCCATAAGCTTGGGAGTCAGGAACCAGGAAAAGATTACACAGTGACTTAAGAACCAGTCATGGGGCAAAATCTATAGTGTGTGAGTAGCTTCGGACACCACAATCCTGGGGTGGGTGGTGACAGAAGTGGGTAAGGGTCCTATGAGGCAAGCACCTGAGAGCTGTTCTATGAGTATTAACAGAATATATTTTTATACTAACAAATATTACTTAAAATAGCATTGTTACTATCGCTTACAGAGTAATCCTTTGTTCTAAGCACTTTGCTCCATTTTTCGTCAATCTTCTAATAGAGGCATCGAAATAACTGCCATTTTTTATAGAGGAAAAATATAATTTATATAATGATGTCCTTTTCATTATAGGGGACTGGAATGCAAAAGTAGGAAGTCAAGAAACACCTGGAGTAACAGGCAAATTTGGCCTTGGAGTACAGAATGAAGCAGGGCAAAGGCTAATAGAGTTTTGCCAAGAGAAC